CCCCCCCCCCCCCCCTAATAAGGATAAGGAGGCAGGTACTTGGTTATTACAGTAACTTGTAATATTTGTAAGATTAGACCGAGCGTATTTTTGATAATACAATCTTAATCCGGAAAAGAAACTTTTAGAATATCTGAAACCGAAAAGTAAATGTTTTCATAGTAAACTTTAACCTAACCCGTTATAACCTAAATGCACGAGAGTCCCCCTCTACTTGCACTTTGAGTTCAATTATCTCGTTTGCTGTTGGAGATATCAAAAATCTGTCAACTACAAAAGTATGGGTGATATTATAATATGCATTTCATTAGTTGACAAAATTTTTATATCTCCTATAGAAATTGAGATAATTTAGCCCGAAGTTTTAGTCTTCTGCCATCAAATTTATTCCTCTTATAACTGTTTATGAAACCAATAAAACTGGAATTAATTTTTTTCTAATCATAAAGTGCAAGTGCTTACCGTACTAAAATTCTGATACGGATATCCATAGAACGGATTTTGATGACACATGAAATTGATTGGTGGAGTATGAAGTGGTGGTGGATTTTGAATGACTGCCGTTGGACTAATGGTGGAGGAGTTGAATAGAGCTGCTCCGGGAGTCCAAGCTGAAAGTATATACAACTAAGAAACGAAAACTTTGAAGGCAGTTTATGATATCTTGAAACTTTGAACCTTATATACGCTTCAATGAAAAAAAACCGGCCATAGATGATCTAACTCTCAACGTTGACCATATTTAATTCAGTGTTTCAAAGAGATACCAAATAGGGATCAACTGATACAGTGCTACTAAACAGTAGATGATTCTTTCAATTTTTTCAGTCATATTTTTCTTTGAGAATGAAGAAGTTGATTTGTGACCAGCTTATTACTTGTCAGAGATGTAAACTCAAAGTTATAAAAAATCAGATTCAATTTATCAACGAATGAATAACTACCAATTTTCAATTTTTGACGGAGGTATAAAAAATCAAAAAATTTCTGTTTCAACATTCTTACACAATCTCAAACTGTATAATCTTACACTGTTCTTATGAATCTCTTTTTGAGTAGTTTTATCTTTTAGATAGCTGAGAGAGTGATTAACTGATATTGAGGTGAAAGATTGAGTAAAGGGACTATTACAAGAATTCGTAAAGTTGTTTTTTGGTCAAAAAATATATGCAATTTTTCTTCAGTACTGACATAGTCACTGTTTCATAACCTGGTTGAATTTATGTCAGGTTTTGATTCATTAATGTTTTAGCTATGTTCCTTAACCTCCTAATATTTTCATTTTTTTCCCGTTTTCCGACTTCGGGTTTTTTCAAAACCATTTTTAAGTGGAAAAGTCTTAGCCAGCTTTAGTTCACTGATTTCTACTATCAAAATTTCTTCTGTCTCATTTTTATCTCAAAAATTCAAAAAACCAACACTAGCTTAATATACGATGACATATACCTCCTAATTAACACATTTCGTAATAAGCAGCTTAAGATACGCTTATCTCTGAGCCGGATAGCATTAAACCAAGGTTCCTGGCTCACCGCGTTATTACATGACCACTAATTAGTAACTCACTAATAATAGTAGCCTCTTCCTGATCCCTCATTTTCTTCTTATTCCCCCCATCTCCATCTCCTCCTTCATCCTCATTTGTATCATCCGTCGGACAACTGTCACTGCTTTCATTGCGTTGACGTTTACGTGCTTTGGCTCGTCGGTTTTTGAACCATACCTGGAATATAATAAGTTCGGTTTCAAGGAATTTGTAAATTTGGGGAAGAACTTTGAAGTTTGACCCCCAAGTCGAATTTATTCGCTCTAATAGAAACTCAATTATACGTTCACTATGAGCTCATGATCTCGGTTCCTTTAAAAGCTATCAACAATGTTTTACTGATAAGTTATTCATCGCCAGACACCTGTTTGCCGCGCCGCCGGCGCTTCAACTGTATAAATATGTAAGGAGGTATGCTGCCACGAAGTGAAATTTAAAAAATCGGAGTTCGAAATCAAGGTTTTGGGGGAACTCATTTTTCATTGAGAAAATGTTCTGAATGGCAAATGGGGTTCAGACTAAAGGTCATACAAAAATTCTAACCAAAGAAAAACATCTGTTTCATGGAAGTCTCAAAACTTGTACAAGATTCTGAAACTTAATTTGACCACGATATTGTTTCCACCAATCTCTGCTGTATTCTAGAAAATTATCCTAGCAAATGGGGTCCAGACTGAAGGTCATAACAAAAATATAATAAAGAAAAAATGTTGTTTCAATAAAGTTTCTAAATGTATACAAGATTCTGAAGCTATTATTAATCCCATGCAGTGTGTGACTACCGATTGTCACTTACCGGTAACGGCTTTTTTGGTAATTTTACCGGTAATTTACCGGTAAAAATTTACCGAAATTTACCGGTAACCTACCGGTAAATTTGAATACTACCGAAAATTTACCGGTATGTTACCGGTAAATTATCGATAAGTTACCGGTAAATTTTCGGTAAAATTTTTATTTTCCTCGAGGACTACACCAGTGTGTCTCCCTCCCCTCCGCCGGAATTTTTAGCAAGTATGGTTTTTTCTGCTAAAAAAATAACTTTTTCTGTGTTAGTTTTCTTGCTCGGCAACCGATACCATTAGATTCCTCTCGTGATTTTACGTATAATACGCCTAGCTGCCGAGCTAGCTTTTCAAAATTAAGCCGTGTAAGAACCTCCAAAAAATCTGCCGAGGTGGCTTCCACCACAGGACACCAAGTAACCCATATGTGCCGCCTACTTTATGTGCTGAAGTGGATTTCATTGTGTTTAGCTTGATGAGAGCGTTCGAATGGTGGTAAGATAAACTCTCTAGCGTAAAAATGAACCGAGTTATGATGAAT